TTTAAAAAAAAAAAAAAAAAGAATAGTGTGGATAGAGTGTGGCCATAACAAAAGGTGTGACCGGAGTGGGCCAGTGACTGGTGGGGACATGCAGGGTCCAGGGCCTGAACTCCAGCCCCTGCTCCCAGCTGTAGGAGTCAGACGAGCCCCCCGCCCTCTTTGGAACCCCATTCCATCCTCTGTAAGATGCGAAGCCGATAGTCCAGTGATGGGGATGGTGGTGGGGCCTTATGTTATAGATGAAGCAGGATTGTCTGTGCCATGCTAGCTACTGAGGCCATGGGATAGGGGGGCGATACGTGCTATTCTATTTTTCTTTTTTTTTTAACTTGCCCTAAAATGGAGGGGGTGAGGGGGCGGGGAATACAAGGGTTGGGCCAGTTGGCCTTTCAGGCCTTCCCACCTCTGACAACCTCATTGTTCTGTCCTGAGAGGAGAAAGCCGAGAGGGAATGAATGCTCTGAGGTCTGGAAAAGTGAGGGGCTGGAGGGGCGATGCGCTTGTTTGCCAAATCTCCGAAAGTTTGGTGCTAACGGGCAAACGGGAGGGAGACTGGCTTTGTGTGCCCGCCATTAAAGTACAAAGAACGTATTGACCTGAAGTTGGCAGAAATAGAGACTGGAGGTGGACTGGGCTCAGTCCAGGAGGGCGGGCTGTGAGGGGGGCTGGAGGCCTGCTGGGCTGTGAGCACGGCCGCCGAGCCACAGCACCATTGTTCGGTGCTGCCCGCAGAAAAGGCTGTGGCCGGCGATGCGTGTGCCACCCAAACATCACCTCGGGGCCAGACCACGAGGCTCTCTGTGACTTGTTACCCTGACAGCTCAGCACCTGCTCTGTGCCAGGCACTTCACATATGTTGTCGCATTCCATCCCAGGTGGGTACGTGGTGTTTCCCTGTTGTATCTGAGGACACACCTGGAGGGTGTCACACAGCCCTAAACCCAGGGGCTGCCCCATCCCCCGAGCAGAGGGCCCCGTGCGGGCTCTGCCGAGGCGTGCCCACCCAGAACTGCCTGAGCCGCACTCTCGGCCCAGATTGGCAGCTCTGTCCTGCCACGTCTCTGCCGCGGAAAGCAGTGGCTCCTTTGCCGTCCCTTCTGCTGGCCAGGTGACTGTGACCGACAGCGCCACTGGTCGGAACCAACAGAAGGGAAGGAGGAGGCCCATGAACGGTTGTCCAGATTTCTTTCCTGAACTAAACTGGGAATTGGCCTTTTGGTATCGGGTGATGTTTTTACAATTCACACCGCCGAAGGAGAGCTGCAGGCATGAAACGATGACCTTTGAGTGTGAATGTGCGAAGGCTGCGTCGCATTTAGAGTGTCAGAGTGTGGGCCTGATGCTAAGTGGAGAGCCTTTTAAGGTCATCCCAGCTGGGGGGGTGGGGGGGGAACGACAGCTTCAGCCACCAGGATGCGCGCCAGGCCTGGAGCCTGCACCAGCTTGAAGGGAAGGGGGGCATTGCTGGGCCCTCAGGTTGCTTGTCTGTGCCTCCCAGCTTCTGTATCCCCGCTGCCATGCTGAACGAGACTCGGTGAGCTCTCATTGTCCTGCGTTGGACAGGAAAGGGGTGGGCCACTTCTATGCCATCTGCCCACTAGCCCGGTGCCACCGCTTATTCAAGGCTGCATGACACATGCCTTGGAGACGAGCCCGGG